GGGGGGGGGGGGGCTTGTTTCAATACTCTTCCTCTGTCTATGAATAATAGTATCATTTGAATTAAGTGGACACCTGGTGCAGCAGCTACGGCTCCGAGGCGCGCTGTTGACCCGCCACCGCTGCCAACTTCCCTTTTTCCCAGCCTGGCCTTATTCGTCCCTCTGAGCCTCCAGATTCAGTTTCCCTCCAGCAAATGCCACACACTTGTAACTTTACTCTCCCTTCAGCTGAAACTTCCTTTCTAAAAGGTAAAAAAAAACTTTAAGAGAAGAGAGGGTGGAGGTGAAGAGGAGGGGGAGAAATTCTTATCAAGCTCCTCTTAGGTTTGGCCACATTGGTTTGAAAGCAGCGTGTAGAGTTTCAGGGAAACCTTCCAATTAAATACTGTAAAAAGATAAAATAACAGAGTCCCGGAGCTGCAGCTCGCTGGTATTAAAGCCCCCTTTTGTTGATTTATTGTACATTAGCCACTGAGCCATGCAAGGAAGAGGACATTTCAGAGGGGATTCTATTTGTATGCATCCTGCGTCGGCTCTGCACACAATCGGGCCTGTATTACGTTCTGCAAATTTATACCAGGATGTAGGTTTAGAGTGTCCCCCCCCCCACCACCACCACCGCCAACCCCGCTTCACTCGCCCCCTGAAAGAAAAAGAAAGTTTTTCAAGTAAGTGTCTGCTTTCATGAGCACAAGTGATTGAGGTTGACAAACAAAGCTTTGTTTCTCCTCTCACAGATGTACAGCCCTGCTGCAGCTTTGTCCTGCAGCCCTGAGACGCTTTCACAGATTTCTGTTAGAGCCCCACCATCGTGGGGACCGTGTGGAGATACTCCTGGAGTGGACATCCAATAATAAGCAAAGCTTTTCCCAGGGCTGTATTTCCACCCAGGAGGAGGAAGCTCTTTCCGACCACAGATCAGATAAAAACGAAGGAGCTGTTGCTGTTTTTTCTGTTACTTGCTGTGAATTTTTCTTCAAGAAAGATAATCTGAGAATCCAGAGATGTTGGATATAATAAAAGGTGCTTTTTCATCACTCTACCTGGTGTCTATATAGTCATATATTCAGTTAGCTTAGCATCTTCCTCGCTATAAATCAAAGCTGTTCAGATTCGTCCAACTAGCCGGAAACATCCCTAACCTGCAGAATTGGGATTCATTGTCTTTGACATATAATTCAAGTATCCGCAATGAGACACAGTCAGGGGGGGATTTACCATTTGGCAATACTAGGCAGCTGCTTAGGGCCCCAAGTTCCTGGGGGCCCCATAAAACTCTGTTTCCATGTGTGGTTAATACAACTATTCCTTATTTGTGAACATTAATTATGTTTTTGATAAAAATCCTTTGGCTAAAATGCCACCAGAACACTGATAATATTAAGTGTGTCTCAGCCCCCCCCCCTTCAGTGTCCACCATATTGGATCAGTCCATTTGCTGCACATGTTCAGAAAGGTCCAAACAGACA